CTCTTCCCTTTATAAATTACCCAGTCTTGGGTATTTCCTTATAGCAGTGTTAAAATGAACTAATACAATGTGTTAGTGCTTTCCTTCACTGTATTTCAATAATCATTTTACCTTTCTGTATGACTCAACTTTAAATTCAAGGGCCACAACTTTCATCTCTGTATCACCAGCACTTTATACATGTACCGCATATAGATGGTAATGAAGGAATGGGAGGATGCCTCTACTCACCATTCTGTTGGCATGCAAACAGGAAGAGAATGTAACTTTCTTTCTGATAGGCCCACTCTGTTGGGTTTTTTCCACTGGGGTGACTCCAGCCAGGACAGAGAAAGAAACCTAATCTAGCCCTTCCCCATTCATGACGGGCTCTTCACTGTACTTCAAAAAATATGACTCTTCCGGGGGCCTAGGAAAACATTGACCTCACAGAAGAACATAAAGCTCAGATTGGGCATTGTGAGGTATGCCTCAAAGAAGACCCAGGCCTTTCTCCTTCAGATGCTGAGTGTGCTTTTCTGGCCAAGGCTTTGGTGAAAGAGCCTTGCCACCACCCAGCACTGGAAAGAGACCAAATGTTCATCAACAGAAAAATAGATAAACTGTGATCTGTTCATGCAACGGCATATGACTCTGCAAAAAGGAATAAATTATATACATAAAACCACATTTGTGAATCTTAGAAATAATATATTGAGTGAAAGAATCAGGCAGCACAGAAGAATATGGTGTACGGTGTCATGGTATGAGATTTTGGAATTCCATAGAAGACTTGCCTACAGTGATAGAAATCAATTCAGTGGTTGTTTCTGGGGTGGAGAACTGACTGGAAATTGGCATAAGGGAACGTTTTGTGGTGAGGGAAACATTCTGTGTCCTGGTTGGTAAATGAGGTTACGCAAGTGTATGCGTTTGTCGAAATTTGAGTCAACAGCACACTGAAGAGCGCGTCATTGTGTGCAAATTATACCTCAAACTAAGAAAGACATTGGGATGCTTTGTCTCTCGAGTCTCACACAAAGAGAAGCGTAGATTTTTAGGGTGGAAAGAAGCCTGAGTAAATTATAAGGGACCACTCATTGTATAGAAGAAGAAACTGAGTCCCCAGATGGAGAAGTGACATGTTCAATATCGCGCAGACATAGTAGCCGAGGCAGGACAAGAACACAAAGTCCTTAATGTGAGTAGTTTGGAGCCTCATCGAGTGACCCCTTAGAATGGAAAAGCTGGAAATTATTACACTGGCACAAAAGTAATTGCTGTTTTTGCCATTAAAAGTAATGACCAGAACTGCTATTACTATTGCTACAATCCAATTCTTCACCCTAATGTCCCCTTGCTTACACATCATCAGTGAATTGTCCTAGCGTGCCCTGGTACCCACACCCACCGTGCTCCATACCATCCCACAACTCCTTACGGTTATTTCACCAGGCGGATGATTTCCTAAGGTTTATTTTCATGAATACTAGGGCAGAGCTAAGCTAACTAGAGAAAACTCGAGTTGTATTCTCTCTAGATATAGGAGCTCTAAATTAGAGGTCATCTGAGGGCCAAAGCAGAGAACCAAAAAAGAAATTCAATGACTCAGAAGAAAGATAGAGAAAACCCTGGTTGTCAGAAATCAGGAAAATTGTATCATATGCAGAAGCCAAAGCTGCTATCAAGACTGGCCAGAGGTCACTGAGTTGGCAGCATATGGAGTGAGGAGAGGAATCCGCCCATTCCCTCCTATCACCCTCCCAAACCAGGCTGGGCTACTCGCTCTGTTCTAGACAGTCTCTCTCTTACCGGACTCAGGCCCCTCGTGATTACCTCCAATCCCACTGCTAGCTCTTTGCTCTTCACTTCAACCACATGTCACTTGCATACCCCAGAGAGTAGCAGGAGAGGATCAACAAGGTAAGATGTGGTCCCCAGGTCCATCACCTCTCACTAAGGTAGGAGAGGGATACTGTTTAACCATGACACTACTCTGTGACGAAACCGAGTTTTTCCTGTTAAAAATATCAGTCGTGAATCATCCTCTGTGATTCCAACTCCTTGCCCGGCAGCTTAGGAGGGATGCTTTCGGGTGTTGGCTGATTTTGTTCTTTGGCTACTTCTTTTCAGAAAATAAAGTCCTTGGTACGGCACCCACCCCTATCTCTTTCACTAAGGACTCCTATAGGTCCACTTTTGCTGAAGGGACAGATTGTGGGAAGAACAGGTCATAAGCTCCCAGTTTAAAGCTCTCTCTTGAAGAGAGGTAACCTGGCTATCAGCTGAACAAGACGTTTTGTAAGCTTCAAAGGATCATCTCCTATACAATGCCAGCAGAGGTTTTTTTAAAAAACATATTAGTTGAGTAAAGAATGAGTGAATGTTTGCCTTCGGAATCCGTGGCATTGCATCTCAGTGTATTCTGGGGAAGAAACCGATTGTGCTTTGGAAGCCAGTCAATCTGTTTTAGAGCACATGTTGCCATACTGTGTAACTTCTCTGCGCCTCAGTTTGCTCATTTTCTATATGGAAAATAATAATACTGAACTTAAAGTAGGGGCTTGTAGCCTGGAGTCCATGAATCCTTAAGGCGCCCTTAAAATTGAATGTTAATTGTCAATATATATGAATTTTTATGAGGGAAAACGTTTTAGATTTCATCAGATTCTTTAACTAGGTCAGTAACGTCTTTAAAAAAAAAAAGAGTGAGAAAAAGAAACCACTGTGGCATTAGATATTTTTGTGAAGTTGGAGATAACGTATGTAAAGTGCCTGAAAGAGCTAGAATGCCACAGCAGCTGCACAGTCATCTGGCTCGTGCAGCGAGCTTTCTCAGCTTCGGAATGGGTTCCAACTCTTAGGAGTCTGCAACCTTCAAAACATGCCCTTTTAGTGGCCATCTAGGTCATTCGAAGCACATTCCTTATTCTCTTCTGGACCCAGTTTCTCGTCTATAACAAAAAAGTTGTACCTGGTGCTCACCCAGACCTAGCAGATGTTAACACTCAGACTCTGTGCTCCCCACCTTGGATGACAGGGATAAAACGCAAGTGAGCATCAATGTATTTAGCTGTGTGTTTCAGTTTCCAGAGGAGTTGAGGAGAGTGGCCTCTGCTTTTTACCTCTGAGAGAACCTGAGTTAGTGATTGGAAGTCAACTTCATGGCAAAGTAATGTCTGGGAACAGGGTGAGGGGAGGGCATTCTCAGGATTGTGCCAAAAGCAGAGCAGACCAGCACCTTTGGGTTTCTCCACTGAAAAGAGATGATGCAGTCGAAATCCCAGGTTTTGGAGGAGCAAAGCAGTTCAAAGGGGCAGAATGCAGGTGGGGTCACCACTTCTCTTCTTCCAATCTCTCAATCAGCTGAAAAAGGAACCTGAGATAAACACGCATGTTTGGAGGGCAAACCACCAATTTACATAGATGTAGGCAGGAAAGAGCCCCTTTGGCTCCCTTCGAAAGGCTCTCGAAGAGCTTCTCTCATGTAGACCCCTAAGTTAAGGTAGACTTTTGAACCTACCCTCTGGTTGACTTTGGGGGGAAAGAAGACAGGAGTCTGAAACACCCATGCATTTCACAGTTAAACCACAGACCTGGTGTGGGCATCTGGAGCAAATGGAGAAAACGCACTCATCCTTGGCTAGTTCTTAGATGAGTCCATTACCATGCCAGGCAGAATTTCTCATGAAAGGTGACTCTGGGTTATTATCCCAAGGAGTGAGTTCTCCAAATGGGGCTTCAGTTACTTATCTGGTTCCTACATTAATTCGCCTCAAATTTCACAATTCCCCAAAAAGAGCTGAAACTTTATCCATGGCTATGGTTTGAATATGATTGGTCCCCACCCAAAGTCATGTTGAAACGTGATCCCCAAGACGTCAGTGTGGTGCCCAGTAGACAGAATTCATGGATGGCACGAAGACCATGAGGAAATCAAAGTGATGAAAGGACCAGGGTCTGATAATACTTATCAGGCTGGAATAATGGCAGCATCTCATTAAAACTGATGCAGTAATAGATACAAAACACCTCCACTTTGATTTAGAAAAAGAAACTAAAAACACGAAGTAGACTGGAGAAAAAAAAAGACTGAGCAAGAACATACATGAAAAAAGGAAAGCCAGCAGTGTCCTAGTCAGCAAGAATGGTCAACAGAAAGCAACGGGCATGTCTGGCCGATGAAGACCTTAATACAGATTCGAGATGTATTAACAGAAGTTGATGTTCCAGTGCGACAGAGGTGATCGTCTTGTCTTCCTCCACAATCAGCCCAGCCTTAAAGTCGCATCTAGTATGAGAAGAATTGCCAAACTGCCTTAATAGTACATTCCGTGATAAGGACAGAATCAGAAGGAAGGGAAGAAATAAATTTCTGAAAATTGGAAGCTTTCTATCTGCAATAGGTTAATAGTCCTACCGTCAGAGGTCTCTAAGCATAAATTGAGTGACCGAGGCCAGGCCTGGTGGTTTGCACCTAAAATTCCAGCACTTTGGGAGGCTAAGGTAGGAGGATCACTTGAGCCCAGGAGTTCAAGATCAACCTGAGCAATATAGTGGGACCACATCTCTACAAAAAAAAAAAGTAGACATGGTGGCAAGCACCTGCAGTCAGAGCTACTTGGGAGGCAGAGGCAGGAGGATCATGTGAGCCCAGAAGGTCAAGGCTGCAGTGAACCATGATCATGCCACATCACTATAGCCTAGGCAACAGAGTCAGACCTTGTCTTAAATAAACAACCACATTGAACAAAATGTATTACAGGAGAAATGCCTAGATTAATGGTATATGAGACATGCTGTATACTTTCAGGGTGCTGTGATTCTTCACTCTTTCTGTGAACCTTCATGCTACGGACAAGTGAGAGTGTCCTACTAATGCCTTCCATTGTGTTAAGATGGTTTAATTATTTGTCAAACCAGTTGGTTTACTGGATGTCAGGCCTCCCTAGGGTTGTGCCAAGTTCTTTGCCATCCAGATAGTCAGGGGACTGAGGGACCTACCCTACCCCACCCCAGAGAGATGCTGGACCTCAGCATGTAAGAAAACCTGGGCCCCTCCAGATTTACATGGCAAGGGATTAGGAAGTGCCGCCCCACCTGCTGGTTTGGCTGCCTGAAGTGCCGTCCCACTCAGGCTTGATGGCTCCCTAGGATAGACTTTGGCCTGGGCCAAAAATGTTGTCTGGTAGAGACACATATTGGGCACAGTCTGTACCAGCCTACCAGGCCTCACAGCGCTTCTCTGGCTCTGGTGTTTGCCGTATCCTGTCTGCTAGATTGTGAGATTCCCTAGGATAAATATAGATTAAAAGCCGACTTCCTCTGGGAAGCTATCCAGTGCCAGGCCCTCCCCCACAACCCCGGACGTGAGCTTCTAGCTCCAAAATCCACAGTGTAGATTTTGACTTCTCTTGTAGTGGAAATCGCTTTCTAAGTTGAATTATAACTGTTTGCACATGCATCTTATCTCTTGCTCCCTTACTGGTTCATTCTGTTCTCATTTTAATTTTCTGTTCCCAGTACCTGTGTGTTGTCAGTTTTTAAACCCATTTGTTCAGTCATCTACTCATTCATTCAAAAATATTAATTGAACACATATTCAGTACCTGTTCTCATTCAACTTGCTCAACAGTCTAATGGGTGAGGTGGATCATAATTGAGTCGTGCTGAGGGAGGTGCATGATGCGCTGAGGGTACAGAACGTCGGGATATGAGCCAAGCAGGCTAGGGAAGACTCCCCCAAGCAGAGGGAAAGAGCGAGTAGGAAAAAACTGGGCAAGCAGGGGAGAGGAGTGTGTTCCAGGAAAAAAGAATAGCACATGCAAAGATCCTGCGGTAGGGGAAGCCGTGGCACTTACTGGAACACAAAAGAGCAGCAGTGTGTCAGGGCAGGGAGGGGCAGGGGGACAAGATAGGGCTGGAGAGAAAAGAAAGGATGAGTGATCAATTGTATGACTAATTAAATGCATGATTCAATGAATCAATGAGTGAATGAGAATATTCCCTGCCTCTTCACTGGGAATTATGTAAGAGCATTGGTTTGAAAGCCAAGAGAGTGGAGTACGAGGCACCTTTCTACCACCAGCTCCTCTATGATATGGGATTGATCAGCCCCCTTTCTGAGCCTCAGAGTGTTCATCTGCCAGGATGATAGAGAAGGGTGTGGTCGCTGCTGTGATGTCTTTTGCTACTGTTTACTGTGGATGCTGCTTGTAAGGTTTACTATAGAGTTGCTGATGGAAGCTCTAAGCTTCTACCAGATTTCACAAAGGTGAATGCCGCCCGAGGCTGTGCTGGTCGCATAAATGTATCTAGCCAGCCCGGTGTTAAACAATGGGGTTGATGGGCTGCCTCACACTTGCCTTGCACAACACCCTGCCAGGTAAGGTAGCGCATTCCGGATTCCCATTGGTCCGCATGCCGCTGGTCAGGGCATGGGTGCTCTATGCAGTGGCATGTCTACTAAAGAATCATCTGAGAATGAACTCCTTCAGGCAAAGCAAATAAAAATTACAGTAAATTAAATGTTAGAAGTCACAAATCATGTGAGTAGAAGGTCTGCTACCTTTGCATCTCAGGACGGAATGACCTCTGTCCCTGCCTGTGATGCGGTCTTGCCAGAGGTCCTGTCCAGACACGCGACTCTCCCTCGAGACAGCCATGCATTCTGCCCTTTGTCTCCAAACTTTCTGACCCTTTCAGCCATTCACCAAACAATTAGCAGTGCTCCTGGTGTGCTCACCCTTTGCAAAGAACGCCTGGGAGAAAAGACTTGAGCTTGGCCTTGCCCTCCAGGAGTTTTCAGTCCAGACAAGTGTCTGTCTACAATGGAATATAGCATGCCAATGTCCTGTAGAAGTTCACTCATTCGTTCACTCAGTCAAAGAATAGATGCTGACAGCCTCTCTCACGCAAGGCACTGGTTTTGCTCTGAGAGGAGCTTATATTTCAGCTCTTGTTTATATATACATGTATTATATAAAGCATTTGATGGTAAGACGGGGAAAAATCCAGCAGAGAACAAGAATGGCAAGAGCTGAGACAGAGGCCAGGCTGGGATTTCGAAAAGGATGGCCCAGGTAGGGTTTATTGATAAGGCGACCTGAGCCATCACAGGAAGCCAGGAAGCCTGTGGATGTATCTGCATCGTGGGGAGCAAAGTGCTATGACCTTTTGTCTAAGGATCCGCAGGAGGCATGATGTCTCTTTCCTCCGCTGATGTAGAAGGAACTAGAATGATGAGGGCTAAAGGTCCAGGATGCCAGCCTGGCTTTCCTCAGACCCGTGACCCCTTGATGTATTTGAATTAGGAAAGTCTCACAGCATCTCAACCATTTCCTAACCCCCTACCTGACTGCATGTAGGTCTAACTGCCTGTACCATAAATTAATATATTCCTGTGGTAGACAGACTAAAGATCTCCCAAAGATCTCCTCATCCTGAACTCCAGGACCTGTGAATATGTTATATTTCGTGGCAGAAAGAACTTTGCAAGTGTGATCAAGTTAAGGGTCTTTATGGGGCAATAATCCTCCATTATCTAGGTGGGCCAGGTATAATCACAGGGTCCACATAAGAGGGAGACAGGCGGGTCAGAGTCTGAGGAGAAGTAACGTCAGAGGCAGAGGTCAGTGCAGTGCAGGGCAACAAGCCAAGGAACTCAGGCAGCCGCTGGAAACTGGGAAAACAACGGAACTGCAGCTTCTCCCCTGCAGCTTCCAGAACAAACACTGCCCTGCCAGCACCTTGATCTTAGCCCCAGAGACTGATTTCCAACTTCTGACCACCAGAATAGGGAGATGACACATTTGTGTTATTTTAAGCTGCTTAATTTGTGCTAATTTCTTACAGTAGCAAAAAGAAATTTAAACAATGACCAGACTATTTTGTTTGATAAAAACACACATAGCAGTTGATAGAACTCTGGGTCTCTTTATAGATGACAGTTCATCATTGAATCCCCAAAAGCATCAATGTAGGGACTATTACTTTCTTCGTCTTATATATGAGGTCATTTAAGCACAGAGAGTTTAAGCAATCTGGCTAAGGTCACACAGCTCTTAACAGCGTGGCCAGGATGCAAGCCCAGTTTGTCTGGCTCCAAGGGTAATGTGTGTCTGCTCCCACTGATTTTCTTACATTGACCTTTGCGAGCTCAACAGGAGCCTTTCCTTTCTCAGGTCTAGACAATCACCTGTGCTGTCTTCACAGGGGAATTTCTCACCCCATAGTGCTGATGACTTATCCACAGAAACTTTGTGTCCTTAAAAGAAACCAAGCATCACTAAAGCATCAATAAATCAATATTGAAACAAATATTTGGTTTCCTTTTTTTTGAAGTGGAGTCTCGCTCTCCCACCCAGGCTGGAGTGCAGTGATGCAGTCTCGGCTCACTGCAACCTCCGCCTCCCAGGTTCAAACAATTCTCCTGCCTCAGCCTCCCACGTAGCTGGAATTGCAGGCACACAGCACCATACCGGGCTACTTTTCTGTATCTTTAGTAGAGACGGCGTTTCACTGTGTTAGCCAGGATGGTCTCAATCTCCTGACCTTGTGGTCCACCCGCCTCAGCCTCCCAAAGCACTAGGGTTAGAGGTGTAAGATACCATCCCTGGTCCTCTGGTTTCCATTTCTAGGGGAAAACACAGAATTAAAGAGATCATTGATTTTTCTTTCTTTTTTTCAATTTTATAATGTAACCCAGTATTTTTATAGAGATATAGTTCCCATATCCTTAAATTCACCCTTTTAAAATGTACAATTTAATGGTTTTAATATAGTCCCAAGGTCAGGCAACCATCACCACCATCTAATTTCAGAGAATCTTCATCACACCCCAAAAAGATCATCCAATTTCATAGAATCTTCATCACACCCTAAAAAGAAATCCTGTCCCCATTAAGTAGTAACTCCCCATGACCCCCTCCCCCAGCCCCTGGAACTGCGAATCTACTTTCTCTCTCTATGAATTTGCCTGTTCTGGCATTCCATATAAATGGAATTCGACAGAATGCTGCGGCCACATGAGGTCTTTCTTCTGTCCCCAGTGAGCCTGCCTAGTTGATATGTGAAGGTTGCAGGTTGTGAGGTTGTGCACCACGGCAAGTCTAATATTCATGATTTCTTCCTCCAATCTCCATTCTGTTGTCAGTTTGCCATGATTTTGTGGCTCCCTGTGTGTGAGCATTTTTGTGAGCTGCTCCAAATCCTTTTCAGAATCGGGCAGTACAGGAATAAATAAAAACACAGATTCTCAAATCAACCAATCTTGAAATCGAGTCATACAAAATGTGGCTTTTATGTCTGGCTTGTTTCATTCTGTATCATGTCTTTGAGGCTCTTCCATGCAGCAGCATTAATCAGTACATCGTTCCTTTTTACACCTGAGTAATATTCCATCATGGGCCATAGCATAAATGCGTTTATCCATTCACCATTTTGACTGTTTCCACCTCTTGGCCATTGGGAATAACACTTCTGTGAACATCTGTGTGATCTGTTTTATTGTACCTAATTAGAAGGGATTCCAGGCAGGATCCATTGGCTTCCAGAAAGCTCTGCTAGCATAGAGGCCTGTGAGCAAGTTGCCCTTCTTACAGTCTAAGTCTCTGCGGTGAGATGTCGACACCCCTTTGGAATCTACCCCGGGGTCCAGGAAAGAGCAGAGGGTTCATGTGCAGAGACTACATTGTTCTCTCCCGAAGGGGAAGTGGGAGAAGATTCTCCGTCTATGAAACAAAGGGCTTCATGAAATGAACAAATTTAAACTGGCAGAGGGAACCACTCCGTGGAGCCGACTCTGATGCTGACCTCTCGTACGTGCTTATTCTAGATGCTGGACCCACTGAAATGCATTATGCTACATTGACATATGGGGTATACAGTTTCTATGGACTGCACGCACTAAGCAAGACATGTTCAGTGGAATATGATATGTAATGATGACTTTGTCTTCAGCATTCACTTTGAATAGAATTTTAACATACCTCCTAGGAGAGGCTGGGGACAAGTAAAAACAGTTATGGCCAAAAGCTCCAGGAATCCAAGGCTTTGGGTCTATGCTTTTGTCGAAAATTTTAAGAGCTATGAAAAGCATTAAAAATAACAATGAGAAGAAAGGACGTGTGTGATGTGGTGACCAAGAACTCTTCCAAGTTCCTACCTGCATCACCCCTGACTTCTCCCGGCCTCTGCAGAGGCATGTACCCCATGCCTTAACGTGAAGCCACGAGTCCCAGGCTGTGATCTCACCTCCTTTGTCCAAACTCATCCCAACGAACATGTCACCCAGCAGCATTTCCAGTGACAGCAACACAATAGCGTGCCTTTCAGTAACACATGGAATAAATGTTATTTTCATTCCAAATGCAGTGGTGGGAATCAGAGAAACAATGGCCTTTTCCTGCCCGATGATGCAAGTTAAAAATATTGCCTGCTTCTTCACTGACTCCCATCTTAGCCCTGCACGTTTAAAAATACACCCATCAGTGGCTCTGCATTTGAAAATGTATTTTGCATCTGATAATTAAGTAGCATTTAAAGGGCAAAATTAGAAAGCACAAAATTAGGCTGGCAGGCTTAATTAGCCCATTCTTTTTTCTAATGGGTGGAATTCGGGCGACCGTATACTCAAGGGGCACAAAGACCCCTAATGGGGGTAGTAGAAATTCACCCACATCTGTAAACTCAGTCTCTCTGCGAGCCAGATAAGGGGGATTAGCTGCACAACCAGAAATGTGAGGCACACGAAACAAGACGATTATACCCTCTTTTCCTCAAGAAAACGACGTGAGCACAACTATAATCTATCAAGAGATAAGAGAGGACCATGCACGTGGCCTCCCAGAGGCCTGATGTAATCATGGCGACATCATGAGTTTATATGTAAAGAGATGAACTCTGCAGCATGACGTGACACCTTTTTCAGGATAATTATCACTGGTATCTGCCTGCATGTGAAAACCCATTTCCCCCACCAGCTCTGACCTTGCTAAATGACCACTGACATGCCTTCCTATGCACACTGTAACTGTCCACTCCTCCTGAGGACCGTAAGCTCTTCATGGAGGGATGCACTGAGCTGGCCAGGACGGGACCGGAAACTTACAAGTGCCTTCCAAGGCTGTCCATTGTATTCTCTGAAATCTCATTCCACATCCCTGATGATGATATCACAATGGCTGGCTGCGTGTAGCTCACCCTGTGCCCAGTTGGGTGGATCTGTCCCCAGCCTTCAAGGAGAAAGTTCTGCCTTTTCAAGTTGCCATGGTCCTTCACAAGCCACAACAGGCCACGGGGAGCCGAGCTGAGGCGCCTTGATCCTAGGTATGAGTCACCCTGATGAATCAGCCATGTCCTTACTATTTTATTTTCTAGCTGTGGTTTTCTTTATAACAGAGACTGTGTTGTTCGTTTTGCAGCAGCCAGATCTAGAAGGCTTCTGCAAGCTGAAAAAGAAGGCCTACTGTACTATGTCCACCAGACAGAACCTAGAAAGTTCCGCCCCTGCTGCAGGCCGCAAGGAATGTTCTGAAACAATCCATGGCGCAGCTGTAGAGCTACGGAAGGGGCCTGAACCCTGACTCTTAGTACCTGGGTGGTCTCTGGCAAGACACTGCACCTCTCTGAGGTGAAAACCCCAACTTGTAGAGTTGTAAAATTTCATTCATTGAAGAAAGTAGTTTTCAACTAGGAGGCATTATGCGCTGCCCCCCCACCAAGGGGACCGTTTTGGCCGTGTTTGGGGGTGTGTTCGTTTGTCATAAGCGCTTTCTTTGCCATTCTTTCTGCGCCATTTGGCATTACAGAAAAGGCCAGTAAGTCTCTAAACAGTTGGCCAAGATTCAGACGTTCATTTCTGTTTCAAGATCTTTATACAAAATGTGTATGACCTCAAGCCACATAGACAGGATATAGTGAAAGGAGCAGGTCAGCCCTGCTCTGCTGCAGTCACTAGGTCACGGTTACATTTTTTAACCTGCTTAACATGTCTTCATGACAATGTCTAGCTACTTCTTTCCAAAGAGCTAAAACAGGAGAAATACAAGAGTAGGTTGCTAGAAAAGATACACTATACTTCAGTTTCTCAAACTTAGTCATTGGAATTTTCCCAGTTCTGAGCGGAATTGCTTTACCCAGAGTCCACTCTGACAATAAAATGGTGACCTCAACCAGGATTCCCGAGAGAGACAGAGAAAGACAGAGGGAGAAACACTCAGGAGATACACATGAACAGGCAACCTGCGGATCCTGAGAAGGATGAGAAACCTGGGAAAGGTTTGGGTAGGAATCTCTCAGAGCCTCTGAACACCTTGCAGAGGCGCCTTCCCTCTACAGCAAACACAGCTCCCTTACCCCTTGTATCTGCAATACCCAAATCCACAGCAGACAGAACAAAGAGCATTGCAATTGTCAGGGAGGAAGAAAGAAAAAAATCCAGCAAAACCCCTGCATGGGATAAACAGAGCCCAGGCGATGCTGAAAGTTTCCCACATACCAGGTTCTTAGGGTGCTTGATTCACCATTCAAGGGGATACAGCTGTTATGGAGGAGGGGGCAGCTTAGAAACTAGAAGGAGAGGCAAGGTGGAGCTTGAAGGAGGAGGAAGAGGACTGTTTGCAGACTAGACTATTTAATTGGCTTGGGAAGAATTTCCCTCATCTCTCCCTGCATAAAATAGTTGTCTATTTCAGATGGATTACTGCGAACTCCCAGATACAGCCCTTAAGTGCTGTTTACACAGTGAGCTAATTGCGGTAATGGATCCCACCCCTCGTTGTCCCTCAGCTTCAGGCCGGTTTCCCTCATGAGCTTCCATAGTAGCAGCCCTATTTGTGGATCTTTCTCTCAGCCCCATACTAGGAGCCTGAGTGGGAAATATGTAATTATTCACTTTGTGGCTATTGACGCCTCCAAAACTGACTGGCTGTCACCACCCAGGGCTTTCAGGCAGCAGGGATGATGATCAAGCAGAGGGGGTCTGTCTGGAATCAGACTGACCTTCCTTCAGGACAAGGTCTGGGGCTCACCGTCACCAGAGCCTTGCCTGCAGGGGTCCTGGGAGTTTGGGTCTGGATTAACTTCACATCGTGGGACACGTCTTTCCATCATGGTGACTGTTCTGTTGGTCCCTGGTGGTTTTGCTTTTTTCCTAAAAGTAGCAGCAGGAATAATATCCCATGTTGTTCCTTTAAATAACTCCCTATACTGATGAAATGCCCCTGTCACTGCAGTTGAGGTCAACCAGAGTCCCAATGTGCATGCCCCGTGACCGTTAACCTGAGTGTGTTCAGCTGGTGCTTGCTTCGTGATGACTCCCGTTCAACAGACCTCACCTTTTATTATGCCTTTATCCCATCAAGCCCCCATCTAGATCCTATTTTAATGCAAGAACCAGTTTCTCCCGAACTGCGACTTTGCCTCCTGTATTCATTTCTGATTACTGCTATAAGTATTAACTTCAAATTTAGCAGCTCGAAACAACCCAAATTCATGCTCTTACAATTCTGGAGGTTAGAATATCCATGGGGGTTTTACTGAGCTGAACTCAGGATGTTGGCAGGGCTGTGTACCTTCTGGAGGCTCTAGAAGCCACTATCTTACCTTTTTCAGTTTCTAGAATTTGCCTGTTAGCTCTTGGCCTCATCCTCCATCTTCACAGCCAGCCATAGTGGGTGAATCCTTTTCAAATCGCATCACATGGCTCTTGTGCCCTCCCTTAAAATTTTAAGAACCCATGTGATTACATGGGGCCCACCAGATAACCCAGGAGAAACTCTCTATTTTAAAGTTAGCTTATTAGCAACCTTCATCTCATCTGCTACCTTCATTCCCCTTGGCCACATAACCCCCTAAAGGATATGGACATCTTAGGGAGCGTTATTCTGACTGCCACAGTTTCTCTTCTGAGAAGGGTTCTTATCTCCTCCCCTCAGTTTGGCGTTTGCACAAGTGACTTCTCAGGTAACATGTTTTCCAAGATAATATTGGATCTTGGGATTTCCCTTTTCTCTCTCTCTCTCTCTCTCTTTCTCTCTCTCTCTCTCTTTCTCTCTCTCTCTCTCTCACACACACACACACACATATCATCATCATCATCATCATCATCATCATCATCCATTCCAGCCTCCCATGAGTGGACCAGAACTAGCACATAAGCTCCACGAAGACAGTTTTGAACACTTAGAACAGCCCCTGGTATACTGCAAGTGCTCAATAAATATTTATCAAATAAATCAGTTGATCAGAAGGATACATTTCAGCCTAGGAATAGCGTGACAATATCATACATGGGCCCCAGAGTCAAAAATGGGGTTGATTTCTTGCCCAGTTACTTAGCCATTCTGTGTCTCTAAGTGCGTCGCAGTGTCCACATCTCAGGTAGGGATAAAGTTGCCTGTCTAACGTGGCTGCAGCATTTGAGGTGAGAGCCTGCTTAGCGGGAGCCCCTGGGGTATGATAGCATTGCCCTCGCCCTAGTGGTTACCACTGTGGATAGGAAAAGAGACATGTAGGCAAACAAGACCTTCACATGTTAGAGGTGCTTTGAGCAAAATGTGTTGAAAGACAAAGAAGAAAATGGCTGGTTCAAGGAGACATCACAGATGTGTGGAGACTGGAGCCTAATTCTAAACAATGAGTAGGTGTCAAAAAGGTGGGAGAAAGCAAGAAGCATTCCAGGAGAGGAAGGGCATGAACAAGGGCCGAGAGGCCTGGAGCCACCTCACCCATTCAAGGAGCTGCGGGCAATTTTATAGAATTAGAACCAAGGGAACAAGGGGTTGGAGTGTGACATGACAGGTGGTAAGGCTGCATTGGAGTGGCAGGAGGACTTGTGACTGAGCAGGTCCTCTGTGCCCTGCTGAGGCGCTCCAATAGCTTAAGAAGGTGGTTGACAAGCTGAGTATGCCTCAAATCGGTAGCACCAACATGTGCATTCTTTCTGATTCTGGGCTCTTTCACTCATTCGCACAAATTAACATGCGCATGAGGCACATAACCGCAATTTTGCAACAAATGCACACGCCTGGGACATGCACATCTATTGGATGCACATACAACCTACCTACTAGGATGACATGCGTTTGTGGCCCACATCTTGTATCCATACACATTCATAGTCCAAACACACACAGGAGGTATCCGGAAGCACGTACATACAAGACATATATGTATGAGCGCCTAACAGATACATCACTAGCCATGTGGACAAGAATGCACACACACCAAGGGCACACATGCAAGCATGCATATTCAATGTACACACTACGCACATACACACCATCACAAAACACATACCAAGGACATTAAAGACACAGGCACGTGAAGAAAGCACACCCTCACCGTCCATGTGTACACACAGGATACCAGTCATGGTATCAAGCACACCTTCCCACATGCTTATTAAACACATTCACACTCACACACACATACCGAACATATACTCACACCATTTACCTACACACAGAGGGCACACACAATGGACCATGCCAAAGTGCACGTGCACACACACACACACACATCTTGACCGTGCGCACACAGTCTGACTCCTCATTTCTCTCTGGAATGTGTCTGGGTTCCAGGCAGGCACTTGTTTGGCCTGAGGGAGGCTGTGATTATTCTCACAGCCGCAGCAGGCGGGGCAGCTCAGAGACCTGTTTTAGATGACACAGTTCCTATCTGCGTCCCTCCCCGTGAGTAGGAGTGGTGCAGAAAAGGAGTGCCTTCGCCTCTCCTTGCACCAGGCTCCTAACTCCCTGCAAACCAGCTCCACTGAAGTCTCTGCAGCCTGTGACAATGGGATGTTATCCAAAAGCATTGCTGGGTCTTTTGCAAGAGCTCCCCATGTGAGACTCACTGCCTATCCTTATGCCTCTCTTCCAAACTCAGCTGGCAGGAGGCCAAGCCATCTCTGGGGTAGGAGGGCAGAGCCAAGCACTTGGCAGCTCTTAGCACTGTGAAGCCCTCATCAGCCACTCTCCCAGGGGCCCTGTTTGGGTGCTGAGCCCAGCCAGCTCTCGAGCTCTGCAGAAAGGAGTCCCCCACAACATCTGCTTGGCCTATCTGGGGCTATTCAAGCACAGCGTCCTCTTCTGCCTGTGCTCATCTAGGAATTTGGTTCCAATGAGCTGGAACCTGGTGCTTTCGCCTGAGGTTTTGACAGGTTGTTTCCTGGCAGCAGCCAAGATGGAGCTGTGACCTCCATCTGGGTTAATGAGTGGAAGACTCACTATGTGCCTACCATGTTGTCCCAGTTCATTGTCCTGCTCCACGGTGCTAATAAACAAGGTTGCGCCTCATATCGGGTGCATTGCCTCCTCCTTGGAGACCATTTCATACCCTCAGTCAGAGCAAGCCTCAACAGATGCAGACCAAGCTCCTCGTCCTTGCTAGAGAGGGAGAAAAATGGCGATAGTGCAGCGAGCTCTCAGAGGGATAGTAATAATGTAACTCAGATGCTGCCCACACCCCGACTCCTGGGAGATTTGGTTAAAATTAGTCCAAACCCTAATTCCACAGACTTGCAAGAATCCTGAGCTGGCCCCAGAATTGCTGTGAATTCCTCCATTTCCTCACATGTCTCTTAGCTTTGGAGCTCTAAATGCACCTGCATATGGCTTCAAATTTCACCCCCATCAAGCTGAACAAAAACCCATTACTTAAAAGAATTTCTAAAATAAACCCAGTTGTCTGAACCCCTTTGAGTTCAGTGACTTTACTGAAAGGTTCATGATCACAGGAAGGGGCACATCACAGGGGCCTGGGGCTGATCTTCTTGAGTCCCATCAGCTTCAGTCCCACACTCACCTCCCATCTTCCTCTTCCTTCCCTCTCAGGAGTAACTCCCAGTTCTGTCCCCTCTCCATGGGCTTGTTGGCATTCAGGCCCAGGAAGATAAGTTCCCATCACCCATTCCCAAAGAGACCTTTTTGAAAATTCTCCTCTCCCAAGCGTGGGTGTCTGCTCTTAAGAAATTCTCATGACAGCTGCCGAGAAAACAAAGTATCTTCTAAAACATCACATTATAAAGCTGCATGTTCACCAGAGAAGTTTCTCAGACAAAGGTGAATAAGCACTGAAAAGAGAGCTCTGGAAGTGAGAGTCCTTTCAATGTTAAGAAGATGCCTGACCGGGCATGGTGGCTCATGTATGTAATCCCAGCAATTTGGGAGGCTGAGGTGGGAGGATCACTTGAGGTCACAAGTTCGAAACCAGCCTGGTTAACATGGTGAAACCACCCCCCACCTACTAAATATACAAAAATTCGCTGGGCATAGTGGTGGGCGCCTATAGTCCCAGCTACTCAGGAGGCTGAGGCAGGAGAATCACTTGAACCTGTGAGGCAGAGACTGCAGTCAGCCAAGATTGTACCACTGCACTCCAGCCTGGGCAACAAAGTGAGATTCCAACAACAACAAAAAGAAGAAGAGGAAGAAAGAAGAAAGAAGAAGAAGAGGAGGAAGAAAGAAGAAGGAGAAGAAGAAGGAGAAGAAGAAGGAGAAGGAGGAGAAGGAGAAGGAGAAGAAGAAGAAGAAGAGGAGGAAGAAAGAAGAAGGAGAAGAAGAAGGAGAAGAAGAAGGAAGGAAGGAAGGAAGGAAGGAAGGAAGGAAGGAAGGAAGGAAGGAAGGAAGGAAGGAAGGAAGGAAAGAAAAAAGAAAGGAGGAGGGGGAGGGGGCCTGGCTGCAAAATGAAGAATTAAATAAAGTGAGAATTCAGGAATTGGGTGTCAAGACTGACTCCTTTTACACAAGCATTGGTGAGACAGCTGAAGTAAGAGTCAGAAGCTCAAACCCCAGATCGGCCCCCAAGAAACTTCTCTCCATCCAGAGTCTGACATCTTTGTTCTATGTGGACAACAAAGGCCTGAGCTCCAAAATCCACCCCCCGCCAACCCCCAGGTCAGTGTGGTTTCTCCAGGCCAAGAGGGGCGAAGACCCGGCAGGCACAGGTTACAGGGCTCCTCTGAAGAATTGACTAGCAGCCATTCATACGCAGGAGAGCTCCCTTTCAACAAAGTCTGTTTGTTTCCCCCAAGAGCCTGGGGAGTCAGTGCCAAGACAGAATGACTCATTGGCTCCCAGGCCCTTGCCTTACTCTGGGAGACACTCAGCCAGGCCCTTCTCCCTGAAGAGCAGCAGGGCAGCCTCCATCTGGCTCCAAGCCGATGTGGGTGCCACACAGTGAGCTTAGAAACTCAACATGGGGAAGGGTCCAAGTGTGAGCCTTTCGGCCTGCCCCTAATGCAGGATCCCTGCATCCAGGCATGATGACTTCCTTCAAGGGTTCAAATATGTTCAGTTTAAAAGTGGGTGTTATTCCCCTCCATGAGTGCACTCGTCGGAAATCTCTCAATCATGGTCAAATTTGAATGCAAAAATGTGGACACTAATGCTCGGTGCAAAATATCCTTTGCAATATTTTAGAAGCTTCCAGAAAAGCTTTATCCAGAAGAGAAATTTCTTTCTTCAGAGCAGTCAAAATTAGTGATTGACACAAGTTAACATAACTCATCGATGAAAAACTGGGTACAAATCCAACTAGTTATCCTAACAGCTTCAAACTCATAGTCTACTATACTAAGATTATACTTGCTACTGACCTCACTGGATGGTTGTGGAGTGTAACTTAGGAGATCATGACTACAGAGACAGGCCAAAGCGAGGCTCTCAGTAACTTACAAATATTATCTGATTCCATCCTCATCATCTCCATCACAGGTCTCCAGAAACTGCATGCATCTTTATGCTGCTTTGAGGAATCTGAACCTGGAGAACTTAAGTGGTCCAAGTTCACATGGCTAATAAAAATAATACCAATGCCAGGCACAGTTATCACACCTGTTATCCCGGCATTTTGAGAGGCCGAGGCAGGAGGATCACTTGAGGTCAGGAGTTCAAGACCAGCCTGGCTAACGTGGTGAAACCCTATCTCTACTAAAAATACGAAAATTAGCTGCGTGTGGTGGCAGGTGTCTGTAATCCCAGCTACTTGGGAGGCTGAGGCAGGAGAATCACTTGAACTCAGGAGGAAGAGATTGCAGTGTGCCAAGGTCATGCCACTGCAGTCTAGCCTGGGTGACTGAACAAGACCCAGTCTCAAAAAAAAATAAAAATAAAAATAAAAATTCAGCTGGGCACGGTGACTCATGTCTGTAATTCCAGCACTTTGGGAGGCAGAGGTGGCCGAGTCACCTGAGGTCATGAGTTCGAGACCAGCCTGGCTAACATGGTGAAACCCTGCCTCTACTAAAAATACAAAAATTAGCTGGGCGTGGTGGCAGGCACCTGTAATCCCAGCTACTCGGGAGGCTGAGGCAGGAGAATCACTTAAACCTGGGAGGCGGAGCTTACAGTGAGCCGAGATCTTGACATTGCAAACCAGCCTAAGGGACAGGAGTGAGACTTCGTCTCAAAAAAAAAAAAAAAAAAAAAAAAATTTAAGACAGCAAATAAGTAGAACAATAAAATAGTAAAAAGTGAACAGCACTCAGCGAAGAAGAGATACAAAAATGTTTTAGTGGCCAGTGGTTTAGAAGCACATGTATTAATTGGCAATGCATGTGCTAATTATAAACAGTTCAGTAAAAACTGTTTCCACAGGTCCTTCAGCCCCCAGGCAGGGTACTTCCTAGACAGAGAAGTATAAATCTGTGAGTAATCTTGATTAGTTTTTTCTTCTGTTTCCTCCCAGCAAGAAAGATGTCACTTAGTCATTCAACAAAGAAACTTACTCAGCACCTCCTTTGAGCCATGTACTCTGTTGGAGCTGGGAATAAAATCAGTGATGGAAAGAGACAGAACTTACAATTTAAGACAGGGTTTATCAACCTCAGCACTGGTGATATTCCAGGTTGGTTCGTTCTCTGTTGGAGAACCCTGTTCTGGGCATTGAAGAGATGTTTATCAACATCCCTGGTCTCTAGCTACTGGATGGCGGTGGTGCACCCCAGGAGCTGACAACCAAAAACGTGTCCAGATTTTTGTCAAATGCCCCTGGGGGCCAAAATCACCCCAATTGGTAATGATGGCTGGAGAGGAGGAGAGTCATCAATCAATCGCTGACAGTTGTCAGCAGAGAACTTGGAGGACCAGCCCCAAACCCAGTTTTCGTGGTACAAATGATATCTAAATGGAAACAGCAGCCCTAACAGAACTAGGCAGAAGAAGAAGTTTGGAAGGTGAGAGAGATGGGTCTTGGAAACACATCAGAGGAAACAGTGAGACCCAAGGCAAGGAGGGAAGTGTGATTCTGCTTTGGGGTCTGTGTTGTTTTACATACATACCAGTGCTGTGGATAAAGGCTAAAGGCAGCATTATTCAATGTGCATTTGGTTCAACACACATAGAAATGTATTTCAGGAGGTTCATACAAGCTAGAACCATGGACCAAAGTTATAATGCACTGACAAGAGCAAATGCAAACTTCTACATTATGTGACCCCCAGTAGCCAACCATTAAGGCATGGAACCCTTCGCGGGGAGGCAGAAGACTTTTAAAAGTCTTTGAGTGGAAATCAGTGGACCTGATGCTCATTCATGCATGAGAAACCTTTGGAGGGCTTGTTAAAGTAGAGATGGTAGGTCTTAACCCCAGTGTTTGTGATTCAGGAGGTCTTGGGAGGTGCTTTAGTTTTCAAAGATGTTAATGGCAACATGGTCACATTAATAGAGATATGGTGCCTAGTCCAAGAAGGTGAGAACCTCAATGCCAAGAGACTACAGTGGTGTGCCAGGAAGAAAGCAAAGCATCATTATGTTTTAAGGGATCCTTGGTGAACTGGAAGGTGTCTAGAGAAGAGTAAAAAAAAATGTGGGGCATTTGGCCTAGGAAAAAAAGAAGTTATGGGAAGAATGTGGGAGCTGCCTTTAAATAGCTGAGGGACTGTAACTGTGAAAAATGGATTTGAATCCATTTTTCTTCTCCAAGGTTGACCATGGTCGTTCAAGATATGGACAGCCAGCAAGGGTAGGAGCAACAGGGATAAAGCTTTGGGCTCAACATAAAGTATAATCTTGTACCAATTTCAGCTTTAGGGCAGCACTATTCAATAGAAAAATAAGGTGAGATGAACATAACAGTTGTCTAGCAGCCATATCACAAAATGTAAAAAGAAACAGTGAAATTAATTTCAATAATGCATTAATTTAACCGAATCCTTCCAAAATGTTGCCTCTTGGATGTGTGATCGATATTAAGCTTATTAATGAAGGTTTACATTCTCTCTTTTTTTGTATTCAGCTCTAACTGAATCTTCATCTTCAGCACACGAGCATCCAGACTAGCCTCCACTCTTTCTGTGCCATGTGGCAGTGGCTACAGACAGCATGCAGCTCCCATATTAGGCAGTGAAGCTCTAGTGAATCAGCCATCATGAAATAAATGATTCCTCATTCTAATCAGTTGCTCTGTCCTGTTACTGACTTTGGGATTTAATGACGTTTGTATTCCCTTTATATATTTCTCTTTTAAATTAAAATAAATTCACTATAGGTTTTATGTATATTCTGAGAATTTTACATGTTTCACAGTCTCTAGAAAAAACTTGGGGCACCCTAAATAGAGATAGTATCAGGGTTCTTTGCTGTAAGTGACAGGAAACTCTATTCAGCCTGGCTTAAGAACGTAACAAAATAATTCATTGGTTCACATTTTGAAAAGTCCGACAGCAACACTGACTTCGGTCTTGGCTTGGCTGTATCCAGACGTATCAGTTGAGTTACCAGGATCTTCTGTGGCTCCAAAATTCTCTTAATTCTGTGTTTGCCTTCATTCTGTGGATACCCCTGACATAGAAGCATGGCTACTGGACACTCCAGCCCTAAATCATTTGTACAGTGAGCATTCCCTGTAGAATAAGCCGCTTTTTTCAAATAGTTCCAAAGAGTCCTAGATTTGAGACTCGTTGGCTTGAATTGGCAGTGCACTGATTATCCCTGAGTCCAAGCGTTGTGGACTATGTATTTGGTCAGGGTTGAGTCACCTCTGCAGCCAGGATTCTAGGATGTCAGACTCATGCAAACCTCAAAAATGGGGGAAGAGGGATGGGTGTCCTAGAAGGAAGGGAAGAGGGAATGAATACTCGCTCACCAGAGATGGGCATTAATGACAGAGGACAATGGGTCATTTTGTCCTGGATTGTGACAATTGCCTTTTGAGGAGATCCAGTTTATCTTTACTGTGAAGGCACTGCTTGGAATTTCATAGAGGAGGAACTCAGTTGAAGGCACTAATCTTAAGTAGTAAGGTCACACAGGGAGTCTTCCTTTGCTTTGGCAAATCTACTTGAAGAAGCCTCGTCCCATGTGTCTGAATGTAGGTGACAGACTGAGATCAGAATGAGCCCCTGGAGTCTGAAAAATACACCTAAGTTTACAAAATTCTCAGGAAATAGACAAGAGTGAAACTCAGGCCAACTGGGCTATAATAGATTCTTTCCCTTCCTTCCCCCAAACAATGATCTTTATTTATTTATTTATTTATTTATTTATTTATTTATTTATTTATTTTGGGGTGGGGAGGAAGGCAGGAAGGGAGGGAAGAAGGACAGTAGGGAGGAAGGAAGGGATGAAGGAAGGAAGGAAGGAAGGGAGGACGCAGGGAGGGAGGGAAGAAGGACGGTAGGGAGGAAGGAAGGGATGAAGGAAGGAAGGAAGGAAGGAAGGAAGGAAGGAAGGAAGGGAGGAAGCGGGGAGGGAGGGAGGGAGGGAAGGGAAGGAAGGAAATCAAGCAATGAGAGAGACATTGCCGACCTGGATCTAGAGGTTTACAAGTTGATTTCTTTTTTTTTGAGAGAAGGAAAGAAAAAAAAATAAGTAAAGGAGAGGAAGAAAGAGGAAGAGAAAGAGGGAGAGTAAATGGAAATATTGCTTTATTTTGAAAAAAATTGAGTATTAATAATGGCCAATCAATGTTTCATTTAAGCTTATGGGTAGGTGTGATGTGGTATTGACAAGAATGTATATTTTGTGTATTTGAAGTGGAGAGCTCTATGAATATTGATTAAGTTTACTTGTTCCGGATCTGAATTCCAGTCCTTGATATCCTTATTAATTTTCTGTCTCATTGAATCTAAGTCTCGTATCTGGGTGTTAGGATCATTAGCTCTTGTTGTTGCATTGATCCTTTTACCACTATATCTTTGTTGCTTTAAAATCTATTTTCTCCAATACGAGAATTGCAACTCCTGCTTTTTATTTATTATTTATTTTTGCTCTCCATTTGGTTGGTAAATCTTTCTCCATCCCTTTGTTTTGAGTCTTTGTGTATCCTTGCATGTGAAACAGGTCTGGATGTAAAATGCCATTGGGTTTTGGCTGTGTCTTTTGATTGGGGGATTTAGTCGATTTAAATTTAGGGTTACTGCCATTTGATGTTGACTGGCTGTTTTATCCATTCGTTGGTGTAAATTCTTCTTTATGTTGGTGCTCTTTACTTTTTGGTGTATTTTTAGAAAGGCTAATACTGGTTGTTTCTTTCTGTGTGTAATGCTTCTTTCAGAAGCTCTTGTAAAGCAGGCCTGGTGGTAATAAAATCTCTGAGTTCTTGCTTGTTCATAAAAGATTTTATTTTTCCTTCAGTTGTGAAGCTTAGTTTGGCTGGATATGAAATTCTGGGCTGAAGGTTCTGTTCTTTGAGAATGTTGAATATTGGCCCCCACTCTCTTCTGGCTTGTAGAGTTTCTGCTGAGAGATTTGCTGTAAGTCTGATAGGCTTGCCTTTGTGGGTAACATGACCTTTCTCTCTGGCTGCCCTTAGTATTTTCTCCTTCGTTTCAACCCTGGTGAATCTAACGATTATGTGCCTTGGGGTTGCTCTTCTTGAGGAATATCTTTGTGGTGTTCTCTGTATTACCTCGGGTTGAATTTTGACCTGCTTTGCTAGTTTAGGAAAATTTTCCTGAATAATATCCTGAAGAGTATTTTCCAGCTTGGATTCATTCTCTCCGTCGCATTCAGGTACACCTATCAAACGTAAATTTGGTCTTTTCACATAGTCCCACATTTCTTGGAGACTTTGCTCATTCCTTTTTATCCTTTTTTCTCTAATCTTTTCTTCACGTTTTATTTCATTAAGTTGGACTTTGACCTCTGATATCCCTTCTTCTGCTTGAACAATTCGAGTGTTTAAACCTGTGCATACTTCTCGGAGTTCCTGTATTGTATTCTTCAGTTCCATTAATTCACTCATACTCCGCTCTAAGTTGTCTATTCTCAATAGGATTTCATCAAACCTTTTTTCAAAGTTCCTAGTTTCTTTACGTTGGGCTACAACATGGTCTTTTAACTCACCGAAGTTTCTTATTATCTATTCCTTGAAGAGTGATTCTGTCATTGGGATGTGCTCGTTCTCCATCAAGCCTTGTTCCATTGTTGATGTGGAACTGTGATCATCTTTAGAGGGAGAGGCGTTCTGATTTTGAGTATTCTCAGCTTTTTTATGCTGGTTTCTTCCCGTCATTGTAAATTTATCCTCCTGCCGTCTTTGAAATTACCAACTTTCAGATTAGGTCTCTTGAGTGGGCGTCCAGGTTGTTAGTTCCCAGGGCCAGAGCAGCGGCGTTAAAACTGATGGTGCTTTTCTGCCCAGGATTCTCCTGTCGGGCTTCCTTCTTGTGTCTATAGTAGGCGACTCTGCCTTCCCCCGGCTCCAAACCTCGGTCAGAAGGGGAACCGGTCCTGTTTACTCTGTGCCGAGCGCTCCCGCACCTAGGTGCCCTCACAGCCGCTGCCGGGCTCTGGTGTCCTGCTGGGGACCCGGGCTGGTCCTCCGAACCTGTTTACTTTGCTCCGAGAGCTGCCGCGCCAAGGTGCCGGCGGAACTGCTGCACCGGCCACGAGAGTTGCGCTGGCCACCCGTGTGTTTCCTCCACTGGGGGATCTCCTGCTCCGTGAGCGACCAGAATTTGTCTGAAAGTGTGGCGTCCTCTAGTTCTCCGCGCCTTCCCTGAGAGCTGCAATCCCGGGATGTTAGCGATCGGCCATCTTGGATCGTTCTCCAACAATGATCTTTAAACAAAGACAGTGACTGATTTTGCACCAAGCAGCTATAGAGTCAAAGATGTGAAAAGTCTGACAAGACTCAGAGTCTGATCCCTGAACATCCAGAACACAAACAAATTATGCATTTCATCCGAATACCCGCAGCCCTTGCTCACAGGCATTCTCTGTACCAGTTACTCACTCCTTTCTGCTATAACCACTAATTTCCTCCCATCATTGAGTTCAGGTTCCTCAAAGTTACCTACTTTCTCTGCTCACAAATATCTCAGTGGTTCTCTAATTCATCTAACAATCTAGACAGGGTCATGCGCTGATTCTTGAAATCTTAATGTGTTCAACAAATTTAAAGAAAAACAGAGGATTCCAAAAATTGACCAAGCCAAAGGATCTTCAGAGACAAGGTATCTTTTGTTATGTAAAACTAAGATACTTCAAGTAAGGTTTCATTAGAAACAGCAGTGACTAAGAAATATTGGCAAAACCCTGTCTCTACTAAAAGTACAAAATTTAGCTGGGTGTAGCGGCGTGCGCCTATAATCCCAGCTACTTGGGTAGACTGAAGCGGGAGAATCACTTGAACCCAAGAGTGGAGGTTGCTGTGAGCGTAGGTCATGCCACTGCACTCCAGCCTGGGCAACAAGAGCAAAACTCTGCCAAAAAAAAAAAAAAAAGGAAAAGAAATATTAGTTACAATCTGTCTGGCGGAATTTCCCTTCAAGACTCCACTTCACTTGCTGAATTTGTGGGCTCCCATTCATCCCTCTGGAGCCCCCAAAACTTTACTGGCTCTTCCTCTCAAAGCTCTCCATTCACTGATTGGTTCAGCATTTCACCTCCTCTCTGCACAGACCTGAGGCGGTGGGACAACAACATAGCTTAATGGAGTTAGACCATCATGGACTCAAATCTCAGCTCTATCATGCTTTAACCGTGTCTCTAGAAAATTCTTAAACTTGTCTGCTTCTCAGTTTCTTCATCCATAAAGAAAATACAAATCTTGTCTTGGGTTGTTTTTTAAAAAGATACAAACTAATATATGTAAATTACGTGGGGCACAATGTTATGTTACTCAGTAAACAGTAACATTGTAATGATTACGGCATTCTACTCTGGTTGCTTGTTTGTAAGTCTGTGTTCCCCATTAGACTCTGAGCTCCTCTAGGGGAGGGAGTGTGTCTTACTAAATTTTATGTTTCAATCCAGAGTGTTGAGAAATACATGTTTATTGAAATAATAACATGAATAAATAAATGAATGCATATAGATGAAGACACAGTCCGCAGTTAATCTCTAGGGAACTGTGGTCCTACGATGATAATATTATGCCAAACCCTTTCATTTTCAATTGAATATTGAGCACCATATTAGACTGAATTGCATGGAA